ATGCTCCTTGATTAATTTCTTTTTTTTTTAGTTTTTTTTGGGGGGGTAGTGAGATAATTAGATTTATTTACTTAATTTCTTCTTCTTTTTTTTTTAAATGGAGATACCGGGGATTGAACCCAGGATCTCATGCATGCTAAGCATACACTCTACCATATGAGCTATACCCTCCCCACCCCCTTGATAATCTTTGTCAAGTTTCAGAGAATATTACATCTAATGAAGTAAGTCAGATGGAGAAAAACAAATACTATAGATCACTTGCATGGGGAATCTCAAAAATAATACAAATGAACATATATGAAAACAGAAAGACTCACAGACAGAAAAGAAACTTGTGGTTAACAAGGGGAGGTGAGGGGGAGGACAAATTAAAGGTACAGGATTAATGGACACAAACTACTGTACATAAAATTGTAAAGCAACAAGGACTTACTGTACAGCACAGGGAAGTCTATTCAATGTCTTGTAATAGCCTGTAACAGAATATAATCTGCGAAAAAATTGATTCATTTTGCTGTACTCCTTAAACTAACCCAATACTGTAAATACATTACACTGCAATTAAGAAAAAAACAACCCATGGCTTCAAAAATATTCATTTTTAACAACACTCGATACCTACAGTCCACACCTCCCTCTCAGCCCTAGAATCCCATCTAACCACCTCCTTGCCATCTCCACTTGCACACAGAACAGGCATCTCAAAATTAGCATTTCATCAGCTCAACTCCTGGTTCTCCCTCCACCCCCAAGCCCACTCTGCCTCCCGCTCCATCCCAGCTGGAGAGGAACCACATTCTTCCAGCTGCTCAAGCCACATACCCTGCCATCACCAATGACGCCTCTCTCACAACCCCAAACCACTCTTTTAGACTTTTGACTCTATCTTCTAAATACATCCCCATCCAATAGCTTCTCATTACCACCACTGCCACCACCCTGGATCGGGCCCCATCACTCCCAGCCCAGATTCCTCAAATCCCCTTTTAACTGATCTCTGTGCTTCTTCCTGTGCCTCTATGGTGTGTGTCTATATTTGTGAGCATATGGTCAATGACATCAGCCCGAGAAATCTGTCTAAAGGATACATCAGGTGAAGTCACTGCCATGCTCACAACTTCCCAGGCGCTCACCTTTCCACACTGAATGAAAGCCCAAGGCTGCTTAATGCCCTAGAAAGGCCAACCGTGCCTGTCCCTGTGATGCCCGATCTCCCCTCCCCCTCCCCTCTCTGTCCACTCTGCCCCAGCCATGTGGGCTTCTATGTTGACCCCCAAAATGCCAGGCATTCCTCCCTCTTTGGGACTTTTGGACTGACTGCTTCATTTTTCTGGAATATGCTTCCCACACACACCCACACAGCCAATCCCAATTCCTCCTACAAGTCTTCGTTCAAAGGGCTCTCTCACCGAGGCCGACGCTATCTTATATCAAGTGGTGACCTGCTGGACTCCACCGACACTCTCGCTCTGCTTTCTATTTCTCCTTAGCATGTAACATCATTTACTGATTTGTATGCTTGTTGTTAAGTGTCTGTCCCTCCTCATCAGATGACAGCTCCACGAGATGGGGGAGGGGAGGTGGCGCTGCCTTGTTTACCAACGTACATAGAGGGCGTCCAACAGTGCCTAGACCCAGGTCGGTGCCCCAAAACACATGTTATATGAATGAATTTGGATAAAGTAAACTTCAGAAATGTTGGGAGTTACTTTATCTAAAATAAATATAATAGAGTAAATAATATTAAAAACAAAATTTCATTCTCTTGCTCTCAAAGGTACAGACAGGACGAATACTCCTAAAACATTAATGAAAAAACCTCTACACTCCTCTTGATGATTCTAAAATTTGGGAAACGTTCTGAGTGTTTTTCTTAACATTAAGCACTAGATCCAGCAGAGGGTTAGTTACTAACAACAATGACTAGATGACAGCCGCACAAGCAGGTGCTCCACAGAAAAGGAAGGGTAAGTAAGAGAACACAAGGCGCCTGTTAGGGGAAGGGATCTGAGGTCCCCACGTTAAGACCAGGAGGAAAGGATGCTGCATCAAGCCAGCAGAATCTGATTCCCGTGTGCACAGAACAGCCACCACTCCGGCTGCTCTCCTGCACGCGGACAGAGACAAGCCCTACAACAGACGTGCGCAGGCTGCTGCAGAGGACGCACAGCCACACAGACAGGAGAGAGGCTTCACTGCTGAAAGAATTCTAATAGAGTCCACGTGGTCCTGGGATGGATTGCTGCAGGGAAAGGCAGGGGAGACACTTTAAGCTGGAAGTGAGTTTCCCAGTGAGGCTAGTTCTCCTCCGTCACAGCAAGCAGCAGTGATGGCCTTGGTCGCCTATTTGGCTGAACCACAAAGGAAAACACGAAGCACTTCTGGCTCTACTGCCCTCCTGGCCCCGCCAGAGTCTAAAGGCAGCAGGAACACTGGTCTGACTTGAGCATTTCTATTCCTATTAATAGTGCCGTGGGCTCCTAAGTGGGAAATTGCCCTTTCCTCCCGCCAAAATGGATGATTCCACCAGGAAATAACTGAGAGGCACTGGGATGTATAAACGCATGCAGGTGATTGATAAAACATCCGGACTCCCCAACACTAGATCAAACTCACATCCAGATATTTCTCTCTGTATCCACTTTCATTTGCATGTTGCCCTTTGCATTCTGAATTGATAGCTCTTTTCTGGCAAACATTTTGGATATTACAAAGCCAACCAGATGAGGAGGGGTTTGACTCTCCAATCTCATATTCACCACCCATACTTTCTGGGTCTCATTCAGGAAAACCTAGAACTAATGATAAAAAACAAACAAACAAACCCTGAACTGAACTGAACTGAATCTATCTTTCAGAGATGGAATGTAGCACCAATTAAACTTAAGATTAATTTTTTCTACAAATAAGGAAAGTTCACAGAAGGAAAGAAGGAAACAGGGAAAGTAGAGAATAAGGAAAACAAAATAATACATTATATGTACAGAATTTTATTATGAAAAGTGTGTATAATTACCTTTTTTCCTAGCTTGATTTGAGGCAGGGATGGATCTCAAGTTTTTGCTTTTCATAATGTTCTTTGAAGTTCTCTTTTCAAGAGTAGAAAATGTCTTGAATGGTGAGCTGGGTTTGCCATAGTCTGAGCTCCTCACTGATGCATATAATCCACTCTGGGGTGTTCTTTTAAACAAGGACGGGCACTTCTGGCCTTCCTGTGTGGTAGCTGTGTACCAGTCCCAGCCCCTGCTTCTCCAGAACTCAGTCGAGATCTAAAAGTCTGTGCACAAGACAAACTCTTCAGTACTTAAACGTCAGTGATAGTTGTAAATACGATTTAACAGATGGCAAAACCATAGTGATTACTGAAGAACACGGTTTGTAGAAGGCAAGCAATGACATTCAAGTTCTCCAAGCCTAATTCATCAGAATTTTAGTATTCTAAAGGAGTAAAAAAAAGCAAAATAATAAAACAAAATAGGCTTGCCAGAGAGCAAGACATGTAATTACAAGAAGGAACATGGAGGAGAGTGGGGAATAGCACAGCTGAAATGACTTAAAGTCTTATATTTTTTCTCCAGCTTTCTCAAGGTAAAAACTGATTAGCACCCTGCCTTATTCCACAAGGAACTGGAGATAGTTTATGGTTAGTTTATGGTAAACACATAGATCAAAACCGTAAAATAAAAATGCAATACTGGGGTCACAGAGACTATAAATCAGAATAAATCAAGAACACAGAAACAAGGAACAGTGAAGTATAAGTTTCTCAACAGTCGCTAACAGCATTTATATGAAATGCCAACTCACCTTTTGCAAAACACATACTGGTAAGATTGAATAAAAAGCACTAGAATAAACTTAATTTTCTTATGTTACTCAAATTCTGGACTATGTTTATTTAAAAAAATGTAAAGAATAGCTTCTAAAAGAAAGTTAATGCTACAGTGGCATTTTAAAATCTGGGGA